GTTGGTCGCGATAGGAAGGCAGTAAAAATCAGTGAACAAGCAAGCTGGCCTGGTCTTTCTGGTCGATTGGGTTTTATCGCGACGCCCAGTGCATTCGTCCGCTTGATGATGGGTGTATGTGTATGTATGCGTGTGAAGTGTAACGTGATACATGTAATGGGTTACACGCGTGCAGCGTCGAGATACGATTATGCTCGGGTATAGTAGGTGCGTGCACGCGTGTGCGTGCCATTGGCGTAACGTCGTCGTTTCCTGCACGCCTCCGTGATACCTGCTGTAATGCTGGCCATAAAGGATAACGACGCATCCCGGCGATTCGTGGAACACGCGGCACGCTTCGTTATAACGACGGAAAATGAGAGCGCCGAAGAATGTGGATTAATAAGCTGGTAGAACGGTATCGAAGAGCACGCGGGTGAATGGGATGGAACGAGGATGATTCGGATTAGAGGAAAAAAACGTGCATCCCAAGAAGATTATAGAGAGTGTAAAAGAGAGCTAATGACTTCGTAGCGATCAAGAGAGTTGATAAATCTTGTTGAAAATAAAGGGTAAAAATAAATTGATAAATTTTTAAAGTAAAATGCGAAACGTTTATGAATTCTGTTCACCTGCCGCTAAGATTATCATTTTATCAATAAATTCTATCCGGAAATAATGATTATTCATATGCATAACATTGATTCATAACTACGTTCTAATCGATTCTAATCACACAGTTAAATCGCTCAGCTTGTCTCAATCATTATCTCATAAGCGATTTACGTGTCGCGTTATCGTTCCAGTTCTCGTGCATAATTTTCTTAGTTGAAACACAATTTGCCTCCTAACTGGCTCGTTGTTGACATGCACCAAGATAATCCGGTTTCATCCATATCTTGCGATATTTGTTACATAGTTGAGGAGACCTCGTTATCTATGTTTTTGCATATGTGTGTCTGTCTCCTGATCAATGACATATTTTAGGATGTTTATGTTCTAATTTGTAGAGAAATATAAAAGTCGAATATTTTACTGTTACTGTTACTAAATTAATTTCTCTACCATATTAAATTATAATAAAAAAGGGATATAGACTTTTCAGAAAAATTTCAAATATAATATTTGATGGGAAAAAAATATATGTAGGAAAGAGAGAGAGAGAGAGAGAGAGAGAGAGAGAAAATTGTTTGCTCATCGTAATATTCAATTTAAATTACTATTGTACCGTAAAGGTATAGAGAGAGAGTTACAAATATTTACACTTATATTGCTCAGTTTTGCTTCTGGGCATCGATAAAAAATTAATTTGCGCATGAAAAATTTGAATTATTATGGCGGTTAATATTAAATAATTCAATATAACGTGCATAGTTTTCTTTATTTTTTTTTTTAAATTTAATTGAATATGCAAAATAAAATTATCGAAAATTGGTATTTTAAAAATCTCGTAAAAAAAAAAAAAAAAAAAAAAAGAGAGACTGAGAGCGAATCTCGAGGACTCTGAACCGTAATAAATACGCCGTTGCTCGCATTCGCGTACATACACCACGCGAGGTTTCCGTGCAACCATTAATTAGATTAGCATATGCCGGAAAAAGATGCTGTCCGCACGTAATGCGTCCACCTATATATCCATCCATCGACGAAGATGCTATTATCTTGACGTACGTTAATGACATTATGGAATATCATCCATCGTCGTCGCCTTCAACGTTGCACAGCCGTTTCTTTCTCTCTCTTTTTTATTATTTATATCTCGTGTGCGAGACTCGCGAGTGTAAAAATAGAACTGACTGATGCGACGCGATCCAGTATACCGGATTATTTTTTATTACCTCGGATATACGCTCTCTCTCGATACTTATATTGAATTTTTGCTCGAAAGTACGATTACACTTCGCTTGCCTTTACATCGCGCAAGAACAGTGTGATTAACGCAAACTGCAATGTCACAATTTCACAACTTTTTCTATTTCTTTTCTGTTACTTTTTTTGTGTTTCATGAAATTATCGATAATCCTGCTTTCTAGACTATTTATAGTTTTTTTTTTGTCAAAGGAATTTTTAGAAAAATTTTGACAGAGATCGTTTGTTGCAGTCTTCTAGTATTTAACATTACTATTTAAAATATATGTATATCTTGATAATTAAATTCTCTTTTTATTTAATTCTGAAATTGTACAATCCACTTCAATTTATATAAACAATTAAATATTGCAATTTTTTTTTATTTCGTATTTAATCACGTCGTTTTATCGCAAGTTTGGAGAGCTTTTTATTTTAAATTGCTTGCAATTCAAAGACAAGTGGCATTTTAGTCAAGGAAAGAGAAATATTTCGTATTCAAGAGACTTTCTCTATTCAGGCATGTGTGTGTATCATATATGTACATGAGAGAATCGTACTTTAGAGCCTGCAGGCCAGCACGTAAGAGCTTTTCTCTTCGCATATATGTGATCGAGATGGTCTCGCGCGCGCGCGTACACGAGACACATAAGCGAGCATATAACGCTCGTGTGTATCTGCCGGAATGCAACGGCCTAGGTGAAATGCCTGGCTCCGTGCCAGAGACTTTAACCTCAATTTGCAATAAAACACACACGAGAGAAAGAGAGAGAGAGAAAGAGAGAGAGAGGAAGGAGGGAGGAGAGAGAAAGAGAATACGAGGGTGGATTCTTCCGCACGGACGCGCACGCGGCGCATCTCACAGATCCCTTTTCTCGTACAGAAATGCGAAAAGTGCAACCAACAAAGGACCTGCATGGTGAGAGAATGAATTTTTCAGTCAACATTAATTCGAGAAATTTATCGTGATTCTGGTCATGACTTGGAGAATTTTCTACCGCTCAACCGTCGCACTCTCATTCGGTGACATAATCCTTCGGAGGATTAGATCTGAAAGCCGGAGATTGAACGATCAGTACCTGCTGTTGGCGTTTCTTCCGCCAGCATAACATCATTAGCGATATTATCGTAACGGTTGCGACTGATATTATAATTGAATTATATAGCTTTATAATATTGATTTTTAACGAAAGTTGAAACGTGCTAGATAATATTGAAAACGTACGAAAAATATCAATGTATCGAGATAAAAAGTAGATAAAGACTTTCTTCCTGGAGTCACGCCACTATAAATGAAAAATAAGATTAGAAGTATGGAATTATTGTACGTTTGATTGTTAAAAGATCGATAGCTATAACGAGAGAATATTAATCCTCTGGAGGCTATTTTCATATTTGCGTTCGTATCGCGTGTTACGGTCCGTGGAAGATGTGCAATCTTACGAGATGATCGCGTTTGGTATGCCAAGGAAGATTACAGTATGCCAAGCGGCGTTATATCCCGGCGAGGGGAAACTTAAGGTGTAAAAAATTTCAGTAATTTAGCGAAGCACTTTCAAGATCTAATTTTATTTTTGCGGAAGTCTAGGATTTTATTAAGAGATGCCTGGAATACTCTGACACCGGATTCCGGTAATTTAGTCTGCTATTTTCGTTCCCTTTCTTTTCGTCGCTTATGCATCGCGGTATCACGTTACGCTACATTATCTCGTGGTCTAACTAATGTACGTATAGAGCAGTCTTCTCTATTTACGATCTTATGCAATTTTAACGACGAGCTCGAAATGGACATTTACATTACTAAAATTTCGAAGAAGAGTTAATGAATTCCGAGCGATCGAGGATAAGGCACCTCCTCTCGAGCACGAAAACCTCGCTGTTTAGACTTTATCCTTTCCGAATGTTTGTTTGTATTTAATTACAACGCCCCTTGAGAGTCTCGCTATAAGGAACATTAGACTCCAGACTTGTCGGTGGAATTTGTCGTTAAAATTTAGGATTGTCGTCTCCGCGTGTATACGCGACACATTCGCTCGCTCGCGTTTATCTCGAAGCGCGCTTGCGTCCGCGTCCGTTTATCACCGCGGCAATAAACGCAGCAGTTAAACAAAGACGGTAACTCGCCTTGTCCTGACCCGCCTCCCGCGCTGTTCTTCGCGTACCGGTGGCTTTACGAGCGGCGACGAAGAGCCCGGGACTGATTGTTACGATTATCTGACTGCGGATATGTTCGTACAACCGCACATAGTGCAAGCAAGGACGAAGGATAGGACGAAAAACGACGACGACGACGACAATGAAAACGATGCGGGAAAGAGATAGAGACCCCCGGAGCCATCGAGACTCTATAAAGTCTTGTGGCTGGCTGCGCGATTTTACCCGTGGCGAAAGTTGCACCAACGTCACAGATGTGCTACCGATTACTCGAAAAGAACGTAGCGAATGACTCTTATCCACGCCGTACGTTCGAGATGTTCGAAATGATTATTTCTTGCGCTTCTACACCACATTGAAGTTGCAGCACGACGTTCTTAATTTCGACATTATATATCCACATGCATTTTGAATAAACGGCTATTTGGATTTGCGAGAGTTTTCTGAAAATAAAGCAAGACAGTTGTGATTTCTTTTAATTGTGTTACATCATTTCTTGTTTGTTCGTGATTACTTTATTGTTACAAGAATATACTTATTATTTTTTGACGAGTTCCATTAAACATTGTAATCGCACGAAAATCGATTCTGCCGCAGTGTGCATAATTATAGTTGACCCGCAATGTCTGTGGCGTGTCTGTAATCTGCGTGATCGGTCGAGCTGTAATAAATCGGTACAATCGTTTATTTTCCTCCACAGTCATCAGCTGACTTCGAAAGAAAGCGTGGAAATATTTTCGTTGCACGCGATGTATCAGCATTCGATGCTCAATCTGTTTGCGATTTGTCTTCGTTAAAAATCAGGATAACTGTCACGTTTATTTAAGATCATTTTACTTTTACTTAAGATTTATTTTTTGTAAAACTATTATTAAAAGTACGAAATTATTTTCCTACATGAATTTGAGTGAGTAATGAAAAGCTACGTTTGTGCACATAGTTATATCTTATATGTTAATGTTTATGTTCTCTAATTATTTTCAAAAAATTAATTAACGTCTTCTTTATTTATTGTTTAGCCACGACCCGGAAGAAGGCCTCGAAGACGGCCGGGAAACGCGGCGCAATTACAGACAACTCCGCGGGTACAAAGCCCAATATCGCAGCAACTCGAAAAAGGTAAGTGATCTTCGAGGATCTTTAAATTCTTCTGCTGAAACGCCGTTACATGCGCAATTACGATCTTATTCACAATTTACGTCTTTTATTAATTACTCTATCATATATACGAAGGGGAATTCAGTCGTCAGTAAAGTCTGTAAAACACGAATTGCAAAATATGGAGCCACCGTAATTGACTATTATTTGCGAAAAAGTCGCGTCGGAAAGTTGCATCTTGCCAAATATTAGCATGCAAGCATCTTTTAATATTATTAACGTTTGAGGAAACTGTGTCAAAGAATTTTATGCAAATACCACGGTATCTAAAGTAATTAGACCTCTACGAACGATTTTTAAGTAAAGAAACTTTCAGAAACTCAAGCCTTTCGGCTTCGCCGGATTTTTCCGTAAATGATAGTCAATTCCAAAAGCGAGGGAACTTTCCTTGCCCCGAAACGACTGGAGACGATAATCGCGAGTGGCGTGCTATTTGAAATTGAGATTTAATGAGAACGCAAATGGAGAGAAACTCTCGTAGGAAGCACGGGAGAAGCTCGGTTGCCCGAAATTCATTAGTCGGTTCGCGGAATGTCTGCCCGCTAATTTCTCTCTGGGGCAGAAGTGGTGCGGTATTCGCGCGCTGATGAATACTGTTTTAATCGTGTTCCGAAGGCAGTGAACTTTCGTAGCGGGGCTCGTCGGAGTTTCTCCGACTTCATCGGAGGCGAGCTCGAAGCTCGAAGCGGGCGCCGTGCGCCGATAAATCTTTTTTAAGTCGATGAACGCGATCGGCGGGTCGGCCGATACTCAGGTCAGGCCGGCACAATCGCGGCCGACGGCCGTTAATCGTTATCGGATAGTAAAAGCTTATCCGGCGCTCGGTTTCCGATAGCCGTTGCCACGGTATTACTCGACGTGCCATTCTTGCCCGCGTTTGTCGGGAGGGATCGTTTCACCGATCGATCGTTCGAGCAATCTCGCCCTCGCGCGCGCGCGCGCCCGCGCCCGCGAGCAACAAAGACGAACGAAAGGGTTCTGATTTAACAACGCGATCCCCGGCGTCTCGGGTATCATAATAAAAGCGCGATAAAAGCACTGTGATATCGCGCTCGCGTCGTGTCGTACATCGGCAAGCGCTCGTAAACATCGCGAGTTAGGGCGCAGGAAGTGTGGTGAAAACTGATTGTTGCTAAGGCAAATAATACCATTGCTGTTTCTGATACGAAACCGAACGGGACGTGTCATATCTGAAACTGTCGTAGTTTTTTCATCTTCCATAAATATATTCAAAATGCTTCTAAATTAAATGGAGTACATGTGCTTTAATTAATGTAGAATCGATTTCTCCTTCATTAAAATGTTAGGATGTCAATAACTTTCGAGTCACTAGCGATTGAAAATCAAGAGTTGAAAGTTAAATTTCTGCAGTGCAATTAAGCATTAAATTCCTTTTATTTGATGTCACGGCTTAATGATAAGAAACAACTTAACTTCAAATATTAAAAGATTACAAATATAACTATTATTACCAGAAATATAATGTCCAAAACTATCAAAAAATTTCAAAAATACTTAATAAGTCGGTCTGAATAGATCACACGTTTCTTGCATCCAACAATACAGAGAAACCGTATTTGCATTATATATATCTTGAGAAGAACATTAATTCCGGAATATGCGCGACATCGCGCAAAGTTGGCGAAGTGTCGCCCGCTGACATACCCGTTACGTTACGAAATGGCATCGCCGATAAACCGCCAGTTATCGGGGCCAATAACTATAATTCTCCCTCTCCGTGTCTCGCGCGCTGACGCCAAGGCGGAAGAGCCTACGTGGTCTCGTGAGCTACCGCATAGCTCTGTCGACCCAGTGTCCAGGTCTTCGGCGTGGTCGATGAAGCGAGGTCAAACGGGGTCGTCGTCGCCCTCGTCCTCGTCGTCTTCTTCGTCGTCGTAGATAGATGCACGCCGAATCGATCCGCGCGAAGGTCAGACGAGAGCCAGTCTCGGTGACTCCTCGTCTCCTCCATGCATCTGAGCGATTCGGCCACGTTCATTCATGGACTCGGGAGGCTGCCAGAAACCGGGGCGTTATTTCGAGTGCGAGAACCGGCCGGCCGAAAAAAGGGTGTAACACGATCGAGGGTGGTAGAGCGAGATGATAGGCGAGACGGGAGAGCGAGAAAAGGAACGAGAGGAACGTATCGGGAGAACGGGTTATAGGAGAGGACGCAAGGGGAGAAGGAGCATATAGTCATATGTAGCCGAGGGACGAGGGAAATAAATGGTTCGAGGAACCGGGAGAAACCGGTTCGCGGACAAAAGACACGTTGCCGGCATCGCCTGAACTGCCGTCGAGCAATTCGAAAGGAGAGAAGGGAGGAGGAGGAGAAGAAGAAGAAGAAAAAGGAGCCGTATCAAGGCGCGAGAGGGTGAGAATGGAGAAAAGGCTGACTCAGGAAGAAGAAAAGGGACCTGGTGATTCCGATGGAAGAGGCCGGTAACCTCCCACCGGCTCTAAAGTCTGTGTTACGCGATCTAAAATTCGCGACGAAATGTTACGTGCGTCTTAGAATACAGAAGATACACTTTCGTGATAACTTATGTTCATTTTTTCATGTTTGTTTAATTCTTCACAGCAATATAAAACAAAATCTTATTTTAACTTGTTTACTTTTTTTACTTGTTTATTGAGCAGAATTAATAATAGAATTCGAATCGTGTAAAATGGGCGTAACACAGGTCGAGGGACGAGAATTGCACGGTCTTCGTCTGCGGTGAATTCGCTCTAATCCTCAAGAGGCCGTTTCTTAGCTCCATTTCTTCAGATCCCTCCGCGGCCTACCTCTCGTCTATTTATCTTCCTTTCTCTCGTTCTCTGGGTTACTCGAGCTCTCATTACGAGCGGTCATTTGATTGTTGTGTTCTCCTTCCTGATTTGTACCTACTGAGAATTTTTTTATCCTAATTTCAATCGGCTACAGTTTCTTTTCACCTTTGACCGCGACATTGATTTCGAATATTTGCAGTATTTTTGTTTCGTACTTCCGTTGAGATCAGAGATATTTTACAATACTTTAACAATATCGAGGAATAATAATGTGATCAAAGAGAGAATATCATAGTAATGATACACTGTGTGTAGTTTTGCTAGTGTTTTTAATATTGAATAAACTATTGTTAAATATTGGAGAAATATTTGCGTTATTGAAAATTTTTTAGTTTCGGTATTTTTTCTCCGATACCATTTTGTCGACATTTAAAAAATATCAGCAGATTTACTAATTTCAATATACTCTCGGCACATTTTTACAATAGGTATCTATTAATACACTGATTGGTAACTTCAATACTGCAAAATAATATTAAATTTGAGCGATTATACGATATGATGAATACTAATACGATGGTTACGTGCATCGCGCGATGAACTAATCGTGATTATGACGCCAGTTGATTTAATCCACGACGTGGACGAATTAAATTCCAATTTAGAGAATCTACGTGAAATCGATTGCGTCAGAACGTTGCTATCGGATTTTCGGTTAGTGTCACGTTTTTAGTCCAAATTAAAGGATAACAGATTGTCGTCGATGAAGTTTGGAGCACCAGGAAAATATCCAATTTGAGATGGCTCTTGAATAATTCAAAAGTTTCGTCTGTCTTTTTGCACGATCATCGCGGCGAGTTTTTCACAATTTTGAAATAACACGGCGGTTTCTGACTTTACGAAACGAAATAAAATTATCTCTCATCGTCTCTCGGTGAATATTCCTGGAATCTCTGATCTCTTCCTGGTTATCTCTTTATAGTCTGAGTTTAAGAAAATCAACGTCAAATTCTTCAAATAACTTCGGGTCGAGCTCGTTAGCAAGTTCTCAATTATTTAATAAAAGTCATGATTTAGCAAAGGTTTAAATACTGATATAGCTGATACGATGAATGCTGAGCTCATCTATTTTTACCAGTTGGTACTTATTATTGCGATTATCTCACTATACATTATTCGGATTATTTATCGATTTTATTTTTATTTGTTTATTTAATTTCCGTAAAAGTCTTACACTTAATGCTATCTATCAATCAACTATAATTACGAATCTACGACAACTGCAACATCGATTAATCTGACTTTTGAACCTGATATTTTTAATTATTTTATGCATCTTATCGTTTGCACAAAAGAGTATAAATTCTTAGCATATCTACTTTTTACTTTTGCATAATGATTTTTACTCGAGTCATATATCTACCTTTTTATGAGCATTACTGAAACAATCTATTTTTTGCGTTTACGTAATAGCCAAAATAACATTAATCATATATTTTTAATTATTTTATTGCATATAAATTACGCATACTGTACAGAAAACAAAATCAAAATCTTGAAAGAGTTAGGAAACATCGATTTATGCGATCGTTCGAGGAACGCTCCCACACCGAAATTATCCCGCGAATGAAAAGATTCAAAGCCGATCTTTCTTTTCGCGAGTACGAAACCAGAGGGTACCGCGCGGTAGACCTCGTGGTAATAAAATAGCAAGACCCCGCAGTTCTTTGAAGTGGCACTCTCGCGGTCGTCGGTATAATTTCTTGCATCCTGGGCCCTCGTCAACATCCCGCTGCTCGTTCGGGTTCTTTTTTTATTTTCACGAGGGCTATATACGTCGAAAAAATAAACGACTAGCGTAAGCGCGTGTCGGATGACACATTGCTGAAAATACAACCCCGAGCGGCTGCACCGCACCAAGAGCGCTGATGTCTCACGGTAATTACGCCTGGAAAAATAAAAAGGGCGATGCAAAAGAGAAGACGTCGGCGCCGGCGGGGGGCTGTCGATGTGCGGCCCTTTATAGCTACGCCTATATTTGGACGATTGCATATGTCAGGAGCTACATAATTTTGAACTATGTCCATTGAACTTCTTCGGTTTACCTGCAAAAAGTTCTTTGTTATAATTTTTATAAATTTATTTATAATTTGCTTTACAATGTCAGTTAGCACATTTTTAATATAAAG